TCGTTATCGAACTTAGCCGAGTGTACACCCACAACAGTAAACTACAGAAGAAAAGCAAATAAAATTGAAGCTTGGTAACCCCCTGGTGAATTTATTTATTTTTTGGAGATCAGTTAATAGTAAAAGACTCACTGGCTTGTCAGCGTACTTCTTCTCAAGAAACTCTAGATCTGGTAATACATGCATACAGTTTATGCAGCAGTAAGTCCAAAAATCAAGTACCACCACTTTCCCTTTCAAATCCTGCTCACAAGAAGCATGTGATGCTCCCTTTGTTCATTAACAATTTGCATTTAGATATGAACTTACCCGGCGAAACTGGAGAGGGGCAGTGTTTAACCAATCTAGTTTAGATGGGAATTCTGGAACAGTTGTAGCTGTTTGCCTATACATCAAAAAAACAAAAAAAAAACAGAAGATCATCCACAGATGTTTTTTTCAGCTTTTAATAACTTCCAATTTATATCATCTGTTATACTAATACATGATAAGAAGTTAACTTGCATTGTCATTTACATTAGACTAGATAATTATCAAATAGTTATTCTTACTTGCTCTCTAGATCAGCAATGTAATCAACGAACTGTTGGACTCTCCCTTCACCTACAAGATAACACATACACACAAAAATAAGTCAGGTACTTTCATCACATCCGGAATCAAAAATGAATGAAATTATACGGTAACATAGAAAAAAATGTCAGTGGAAATTTAAGAAAAGGCCAAACCTTGATTCTGTGTAAAAGAAGGGCTTTTTGTTCCAACCAATGCGTTCCACAAAGCTTGTGGAGAAGCATATTGCATTGCCTACTTAAAATCAGCAACTCCGTAAGATTAATAAAAAAAAGCTTTGAACACAAAAAAATAGTCTTCAATGGTTTACCTTCCAGTTGTTGGCGGCGAAGTAGACACAAGAGAGAGCAATTCCAAGACTCCCATACCTCAATATATCTCGACGAGAACCCTGAAACCTGTTGGAACATTGCATCTGCAATCTCAAGTATATGAAAATTTTCCACAAGCCATATCATTTGATATTAACACTGTAAATCATAGACTTTTTTCTCTAAGAGATTGTTTGCACATTACAAATATAAACCCCAAACTACTTACATAAAGCATATAAATATGACTGATAATTAGACGACTTTAATTGGTGTTCAGTGTTCTTTATGGATTAAGCAAACCTTTCTTACCCGTTGTTATTGGTTTTGTCGCTGGCAGTGTTCTCTTGATGTTGTTTTCCTGAATTTCCTGCGTAAGTACTCAAACATGTAAAAAGAAGGGTAAAAATATATGGAATTAGAGGATGATAAATCTAATGCCTTACAGTAGAAAATAAAGTGCTAAACATTTTAATTCAATATGTCAAATGTAATCTCATTACAAGGAAAGCCCCCTTTATTCAAGAAATTTTGGAAAAGGTACAGTGGAGAGATAAATAACACCAGAAACAAGAGTGTTTTGCAACAAATTGCTTTGAGACTACATACTGGTAGAGCCACCAGTGAGAATGTCATTGATTGATATGTTTCCGATATCGTCTCGGATCATTGACGGACCAGCATCCTTAAGAATTGCTTCAGATAAAGAAGTTTTCACAGCTATGCATCTGCAAATTTAGAAAATGAATTTGAGAATGATCACTTATCATTAAATTCTACAGAGACTATAAAAAGACATCATCTTGAAGGTACTAATTTTGTATTCTATCAAGTTTTTTGTATACTAATGTTAACTCATTCGGAGACAAATAAGTAAACTACCTCATGTTTGCAGCTTGAGCAGCCTGGACTCCAGCAAGTGCATCTTCAATAACAACACACTGCAAAAATGTATATAACAAATGACTTCTGAAGATATGCAAAGTCTCAATATTAAGTATCTTAGCAATGGAAGTTATGTACTCTAAGGTACAGTTTGTTCATCTTTTCTATGAAACTTCGTAGCTGAATCATGATTTCGTACAAGCTCTGAAGCAATGGAATAGTTTCAACAGAGCCTAGCTGGATATGAATAACATAAATAAGTTGAGAGTATTACCTCGCTTGTGGGCACACCCAAAATCTTTGAAGCAGACAAGAAAATATCTGGAGCTGGTTTCAAGTTCTCAAATGCGTCTGCTGATACAATTGCATCAAACCTGAACATCATCAGCACAGACATTTACTTGAGTCTTGAGACATGGAACAAATTGGTGCCAATTTCCACATAAAGCAATTAGGAAACGATTACTAAAGACATCAAAAGTTGTAATGATATTTACATGGACAAAGACAAACCAGCTGCAGCAAGGTTTGCATCAACTTTAACACGGTCAGCGCTAGACGCAACAGCTACTTTGAGACCTCTGTTCTTACACTGTCACAAGAGATTGACACAACAAATCATAATCACCAGAGCCAAAACCACACAAGTTTCATTGATTCCTCACCTCAGTAACAAGCTCTAATGCTCCTGGAAATCCAATTCCAGACTCTGGCTTTGCGTACTATATATATAATCCATAAAAAGACAATAAAAAACAAGAATCACACAACAACAAATAAAAGCTTGATTATTTTCAGTCACATTCTCTTAAATCATTTATACCTTATCTAGATAAATCTCAAAGAAGCGTTTTTTAGCTGCATCAGTATCAAACCCTTGAACTCCTTTAACAGAAGCAACACCTCCCAAGAACTTAGCTTCCCCTGTGAATAATAATAATAATAGCCAAAACCAAAATAAAATTAATTAAAAAATTCATCAGTTCTTGAAATGGACTTTTCTTTTACCTTTTCCCGTGAAAGGAACGAAGTCATCGACACTGACTTCAACTCCCATCTCTTCGAAGACATCCACTGCTGCTCTTCTCGAGAGTTCCTCACTGTTGCAAAGCACACCGTCCATATCGAACAGCACGGCGGATACTTTCCCCCAATCATCGGCCTCTGTCGTCGTCTCCGGAGGGCTCTCCGCAGCAACACTCACTTTTGAAGAAGACGGTGAAGGAGCCGGAGACACACAGCGGAATCCTGGGAAAGAAGAGGTTCTTGTTGTGGATTTTGATTTTATTGGAGTAAGAGAAGAAGAGAATCTCCTTGATTGGGAGAAGAGTGAAGAAGGTGGAGAAGACAAGGAGTTGAGTCTCAAAGCCATGTTTTGCCGAAACAAACGATTGCGTTTTTTTTTTCTTTCTTCACATTTAAATCTCTGATGGTGTGCTTCTTTTAGTGGCGGGTGTTGTTTTATCCAAATAAAGGACGAAACTGTCCTCATGTTTTTGTACCATACAAGTGTCAGTTTCCGATTATTTTTTTGTACCATGAAGTGTCAGTTTCCGATTATTTCATACGTAATGAAAAACAGAAATGTAAGTGAGAATTGCATGTCGCCATACTCTGCATTCAGGTGTTTCAGTTCTGATTTAACGAGATAAGATGTCTGATTTTGACTTTTTTTTTTTTTTAAGATCATACTCAATTACAGCCCTAGTATTAGGTTGTATTGCAAGATATTTAGATGAAGAAAATTTCAAGTAAAATCCGATCTAAAAACTCTCACTTTGATACACTACTATTTCTCTCACTAGGACTTATGGTTTATTCTGTACTGAATCAAGTAAGGAATGACAAGGCAACCGTTTCTCGTATGTATATATGTTCGTATCCTCGAATGCCAATGGTTATATATACATAAGCTTATAAAATACGTTGAATTTAAGAGACGCAACTGTCCAAATATCCATAAATTTTCATTGAGATAACCAACAGGAAATCCACTACAGTAGAGGGTATTTAAACAACATCACATGAAATTAAATAAATAGGCAGCTTGATAAGGCTTATTACCAGGAGCCTTGAGCACCAGCAGTTGGGTTGTTGAAAGCCTGGAACTCCCAAAACGTCTTCAATGAGTAAGATATGACAAAAAAGTTCAAATATTAAGAAAAGAAGAAGTTGGACACGAGCTCATCAAGATTACAAAGAATCTCCTGAAAGTCACTGATTTCTCCGCTGGCACCGAGAAGAGAATGCTTACCATATGAACCTGCAGATTCACAATTCAACATGAAAATTTTAAACTAACAAAGAGAAGAAGCCATTAGCCAACAAACACACAAGGAAGGTTAAAAAATGTCATTACAGCATCTTTTACGCATAATGTTGTTAGAACCTAACTCAATCAAAAGATGCATAAAACTCACTGGACCATAAATATCCGAATTTACAAGAAATTATATGAACAGCTGCCACTATAGACATCCTGAGTACTGACTGTTAGTGAATGTATGTATACAAAAGAGCATGAAACAAACTTTATGCGGATTAAATTTTCTTAACTTTCAATCAGAATTCAAGTTGACTAATTACCTCGCTTGTTGGCACACCCAAGATCGTTGAAGCAGCCAAGAAAATATCTGGAGCTGGTTTCAAGTCCTCAAATGCGTCTGCTGATACAATTGCATCAAACCTGAACATCATTATCACATAAATTTACTTCAGACATGGAACAAATTGCTGCCTATTTCCACAAAAACCAATTAGGAAAATGATTACTAAAGACATCACAAAAGTTGTAATGATCTGATCTTTACATGGACAAAGACAAACCAGCGGCTGCAAGGTTTGCATCAACTTTAACACGGTCAACGCTAGACGCCACAGCGACTTTTAGACCTCTGTTCTTACACTGTCACAAGAGATTGACACAACAAATCATAATCACCAGAGCCAAAACCATACGAGTTCAGTGATTCCTCACCTCAGTAACGAGCTCTAGTGCTCCTGGAAAGTAAAGGGGACAAAGAGAACCTTTGAGATAGGTTAGAGGGTTTAGCTTAGGTTAGATTGTAATTTAGATGATTAATGGAGGGTATTACAGTATTAGAGAGGTTGGAGGCCCTAGGTCAAATCAGAATAAAGTGCCGTTGAAAAGATAGAAAGCCAAAAACCAAAAAAAAAAAAAGAACAAAACAAAAAAAAACCTTTGATTCAAACAAACAGATCGATCCAACCATGGAGGTATCAGCACTAAAACACCCAATTCACGAACATCTTTTGTACCCTTCAACTCGATTTCTCTGTCCTCCTTGCAAATGTTGTGGAGTAATAGATCACATCTACGAAGGCTACCGTTGCAATGAATCTGAATGTTACAATAAAGGAGTTTGGTTCCATAAGGAGTGTGTCGAGTCACCATCGGAAATCAACCATCCTTCTCACCCTCAACATCCTCTTTTTTTCAGCACGGAGATAGATTCCAAACCGTGTCATTTGTGCGGACGTTTAATCAGCAGAGGTGGTTATTGCTGTGCGATCTGCGACTTTGTCACAGATATGGCTTGTGCACTAAAACCACCGCCACCTCTAGCTATTGAGCATCCGATGTTCCATGAGCATTCACTTGTCCGCACAAATAAGTTTCAAAATTGTGAAATATGCAAGAATTATATTGGAGAAGGATATCCTTATGAATGCCTTACTTGCAAAGATGTTCTTTTTCACTTGGACTGCGTCAACCAGTCAAGAGAGGTAAACCATTCGTCTCACTCTAGTCATATTCTTGAGTTTGTCATATCTGAAGCACTTCCAGAAAAAGCTGAGAAGACATGCATTTTGTGCGGATTAGAATCACAACATATGCTTTATCATTGTTCCAAATGCAACTTTAGCATATGTATTTACTGCAAGAGGAATCCTCCTCCACCCACTGTCGAGCATACCAAGACCCACAAGCATAAGCTCTCCCTCTTGTCAAGACGAGTCTTGTTTACTTGTAATGTTTGTGGGTTCCAAGGCGATCGAAGTCCTTATTCATGTATTCAGTGCAGTTTCTTAGTTCATCAGCATTGTATCAACTTGCCTCGTGTCATAAACATCAACCGTCATGATCACCGCATCTCTCTCATTGATCATATTGGGCGTGGGAATCTAAAGTGTGGAGTCTGTCACAAAAGTGTTGATCAGTACTGTGGAGGTTATACTTGCTCCACTTGCCCTGATTTTGTTGTTCATTCTTCATGCCCAATACAACACAATGTGTGGGATGGAGTCGAACTTGAAGGGATCCCTGAAGAAGAAGTTATTCCTCCTTTCGTGGTGGTGGGTGATAACTTGATAAAGCATTTCAGCCATGATCATCATATTCTTCGACTAGAGAGTACTGATGGTACAAGTACTCGTGATGCAAAAACAAGATGCGAAGCATGCGTCTCTCCCGTCTATTCTGATCCAATATACAGCTGTGAGCAATGTGATTTCATCCTCCACCAGACATGCGCAAATCTTCCAATGAAAAAACGACTTCCGTTTTACAACATACAGTTCAAACTATACGCTCCCGACATGGATTCCTACGAAGCTTTTAAATGTTACGCCTGTAAGACAATTTTTAGCGGTTTCAGGTACGAGGCTGATGATATCATTATAGATGTACGTTGCGGTACTTTTTCTGAACTGGAATCATATGATTTCCATGACCACCCTTTATATTATGGTGATAAGAATGCTTCTCCAAGGTGCCGTGCATGCCAAAGGGGAGAGGTGTTACAAAAGATGCTCGCTTGTGATGATTGTGACTTTGAGTTGGATTTCCGGTGCTTTAATTTGCCAAGGGTTGTGAAGCATAAAGACGACGAGCCTCCTCTTTCCTTATGTTATGGTGAAGAAGATCCAAATGGTAAATACTGGTGTGATATTTGTGAGGGTGAAACAAATCCGAAAGAATGGTTCTACACTTGCTCTCATTCTGGGGTTACACTGCATGTCCAGTGTGTCCTTGGAGATTTCTCTTTTCTCATGCCAAGACGCTTAATGGAATCCAGTCGGTACTGCAAATTTGAAGTGGTTCCTAACAACCATTGTTTTCGACCGTTCTGTGCCGGTTGCCAATCTCGATGTATAGGCCCTTTCTTTCTAAAGATTTCTAATCCGGAAATCATATACATCTGTTCTGAAGACTGTTTAAATAAAAAGATCACTTATCCAGTTGCTTGAGGTCAGATCTACGATTTAGTTATACTATGTTGTTTTGTTATTAGACTAAACCGATCTAATTCCTGACATGATATTCATGTTGCAGAAAATTATAATCAAGTTTTTGGAAAGACATGCTAGGCGGTGACAAGATCCTTCACGTGTGAGAATGCAAAATCCACGTTATGAACAAACACTACGTCTTCTCTTTCTATGTTATGGACTTAGGGTAAGTGGTGCTCTGCTTCCTGTTCCTGGTTTGTAGGACATCTATCTCCATTACGCATTTTGCGTCCATGTTTTCTATCTAAGACCATCATTAACCACAATCTCTTAACTGGAGTTCTTAGCGACTCTGATGGGACTCTTAATGAATATCTATACTATTATTTGCGAAGTGATTTTTCGCAACGGAGCTCTCACGTTAAAAGTTCGAGTGGTTAATATCGTTTATACCCTTAATGAATAAAATATATAAATCAATCAAAAATAAAAACGAATTTAACATTTATTTGATTTGATAAATGATTTAAATTAATAATAGTGATAAGAATTATCCATAATCTAAATATATATTTTGGAAAAAGAAGATAATTCCTATATATATTGTGTTGTTATCCAAAAAATATATTTTAATACACAAAAATTCAAAAACAGAAAACACATAAATAAATATTCATAAAGTAAACTTTTTAATTTTATATAATTGAAAATAGAAAATTGAATAAACTATAAAACGTAATTATTTTCAAACTAAAAAATATAATAATATAATATAATGATATATATTTGTGAAGTTATTTTTAGCCTCTGAATTCAGACGTTAAATTAAATTAATTATTATATTTTATATAATTAAACCTTTAACATGAATTAATCATAATAAAATAAAAGATCATTCAAAAAGAAAGAAAATACATGTTTGACAAAAATAAATTTAAATATATTGTATTATTATCCAAACTAATAATATTCTTTATGTAAGATCAATTAAGAAAAAAAAAATAGACTTTAGATTTTTCAAAGTTTAAAAGGAAAAAGTAGATTTTTTTTTTTAATTTTTGAATAACTTTATCATATAAAAAAGTTCAATGTTTTAGATCAAATTTTTTGGATGCAAATAATCATTTATTTTGATGATTTTTAAAATTAATTTAAAGATAATTAAGCCTGCATGTGCGGGCAGAACACCTAGTTTAACTAATAAATTTAAATTAAGAACCTTTGTTAAGAGATAACTAGTTTGAGTCCTCCAATGGTAGAACTAAATTAAGGGTTCTTAAAAAAAAATCATAAAACATCGTTTTGCTTTCTTCATCTATACCTGCGCCTGCGAGGACTGCATAATCTGGATGGAGAGATACTGAGAGAAGATGAGCAATAGAGGTAAGACCAGATATGCTAATGTGTCCGACCATCCAAGAGTCCCTTAAAGTTGGAAATAAGCATCCAACACACAACTAGTCAGAAAAGAATCATACAGATATAAAAGGATAATGCTTTCTTTGTGGGTACCTCATCGGCAACTTAGGGCTCTATATAATCCACATATAAAATGAAGATATAGCTTAACCACAAGCTAAGAAGCTAAGAAAGAGATCATGTCTCTTGACTAAAACTATAATCTCAAAGTGAAAATCTTAAACAATCAATTTTACCTGCAAGGAGATTGATTCCAGCGAGCTTATACAATCTGGCAGTTTCAAGCTGAATTCTCTCCTGCAAACATAAACAAGCTCTTTGTTTTAACAATAGGGCTACATTGATAGAGAGTAAAACTACAATCTTTGGTGTATTCATTAGAATAACTCAGCAATGATGAAAACAAATCTACAAAAAAAAAAAATAGATGAAGTAGCGATGGATGCAACTATATGGCATCAGCAAATGCTTTTTCTCTTGTACTTCAACAAGGCAAGTAAATCCATGTTGCAGTAATAACGAAATGGTTTTTATCTGATCACCTGCATACCGTTCCTGAATGGCCTTTATTTGAGGCTGCAAAGACTTCATAGCCATAGCAGTCTCGACCTGTACAGAAACAAACCACCACTTCAATAAAAAAATATTAAATCTTAGCTTGTAGAAGAACCTGCTTTTTCGTCAGTAAGTAGAATGATTGCAAAACCCATCTTTCAAAACCTACAATTCAAATCCTAACAAACCTCAATTATACTGAAACATAATAAACTTTTTTAAAAAAGGAAAACTTTACGTTGAGAATAGTTTCCATGTAATTTGTGATACCAGTGATGCCGGAAACAGATTCAAAGGTTTCAGAGAACGAAACGGCAGCATCATCAGCGATGGTGTGTAGAGGAGACTCTCGGCAGGGTCCTAAATCAAATCGAGTGAAAATCCTGGGTCGGGAAACCCGAATTAGACGGAGACGACGACAAAAGGAAGAAGACGTCGTGAGAGAGAGATACAATCTCTCAAATTAAGCTGTCCAGTAAAATTGTAACAAGTGTCTGCTAAGAAATATCTTAATGAAGATATGTTTCTTCAGTTTCTTAGCAGAAAAATGTAAAAAAAAAAAATGAAAAATGTCAAATCATAAATTAAAAAGGGAAATTTGCCAAAAGGGGATCGAAAAACACAACTATTGTCCCCTTAGAATAAAATCAAATTTTGGCACTTTTGGACCTTCACTACCTTTTTGTATATAAAAATTCATAGTAAAAAATTTACAAGGTAAAAAATTGAGGAAAAATATACAATATGAAATAGAGTAGCATGTGAATATATGAAAAATATTTTTTCATTCAAAAAATGTTTGGAATAGTAATCTCAAAAATTGGATAAATCGGATAGTAAATCAGATCTACCATCTACGGCGGTTCAGAATGTACAATCTACCAACAACTAATCCATCTAATGGGCTTAGAATGCGTAATACACCAAAAACAAATGAAGAATATGATAACTGACATTCCTTCTTTGTTATGCAGTTTCAGTAGAACATAGCATATACTAAAGACCCATCCGTCTACCTTGGCAGAACATATCTTCTTAGTTTTAATGTTTTGTCTACGCTCGTGGGATTACGTTTCCACTGGTTAAACTAATGGAAAATTTGGTAGAATGTATCTTCTACCAACGGTTTATNTGTTATGCAGTTTCAGTAGAACATAGCATATACTAAAGACCCATCCGTCTACCTTGGCAGAACATATCTTCTTAGTTTTAATGTTTTGTCTACGCTCGTGGGATTACGTTTCCACTGGTTAAACTAATGGAAAATTTGGTAGAATGTATCTTCTACCAACGGTTTATGAGCCACCATCCGAAAATCTAGGAAAATCTAACAATAATGGTTAGTAAATATTCTCTAAATATTTTTGTTTCCTTTTTTAATATTTTTTGCCATGAACGTGTATAAGTTTCATATTTGGTATATATAACCTATTATATACTACCTTTTTTTATTATATGACAATATGATAACTTGGTTCAGTGGTTTATATGTCTAAAACCTCTATTAGTAACCCGAGTTCGAGTAATTGCACTGCGCATGTTTTCCTATTTTTCGTTCTTTTTTGTTGTTTATAACACTAATCCTTGAAGTTAACATCTTTGTAGAATTTAGTACGCAAAGTACTCAAAGGAAGCAATTAGCATCTTTGTGGAATTGTCGTGGTGAACTCATACGAGTGGTTTTATGGTTCTTATATTGATGCAATTTATATTGACAGAATGGTCACACGGTTTCTGAACAACAAGATAACAATCAAACATGTCTCAACAACAAGAGCAAAGCAAAAAAAATTTTCCATACTTGTAATGTAAACAAGAGAAACCAATCACATAAAGAGAGGTTATCATATTCTCTCTGTAGTTAAACATGAAAAAGTAGCTCATGTTGTTGACCTCAGGATGAGCCTTCTTCAGCGACTCCCAAACTCGTTCAACCTCAGAAGCCTTTTTATTTCCTTTTTAATATATTTTGCCTTGAACGTGGGTCTTCTTCTTCTTCTCACCGTGAAAAAACCTCTTCTAATCTTCTAGTTCTTCCACTTCCACGCTATCTAACAATGAAGATGCACATGTATACTTCATGTGGTTCGTGGAACTCGTCTGTAAGCAATGGATGGCGATTTGTTGTTGATGAAGGAAAAGGAGGTAGGTTACANCTTGAACGTGGGTCTTCTTCTTCTTCTCACCGTGAAAAAACCTCTTCTAATCTTCTAGTTCTTCCACTTCCACGCTATCTAACAATGAAGATGCACATGTATACTTCATGTGGTTCGTGGAACTCGTCTGTAAGCAATGGATGGCGATTTGTTGTTGATGAAGGAAAAGGAGGTAGGTTACAAACTGTGGACACAAGTTTATCTTTTGAACACCTGAAGTTGATCGTGTGTGAAGACTTTGGAATTGATCTAGACATGGTCAATATCGAGTTGAGTTACTTACCTTCAGATTTGATGAACATCATCAACTCGCCACATGTTTTCATCAACAATGATAGGCAACTAAAAAACTTTCTAACATATCTGAAGATCAGAGTTTCTACGCGGTTATGTGTGTGTGTTCGATCTAAGGTGGATACAAGGAAATTTTGATAATTTTTTTATTTTTTAGTTTTATTTTTAGTTTTATTTTTTTTCTTTTTCGGTAATTTTGATATTTTTTCATCATTTCCGGTAATTTTGATATTTTTTCATCATTTCCGGCTCCAGGTTGTACATTCTGCATCCTATTACATTTATATGTTATATGATTGTGCACATTAATGAACTGTAACCTCAATTGTTGATGATTATTCAAGTTTTTGAGACAATACAAAAACATTGTCCATGTACGATGTCACTACTGTTGTTATGTATAGAGTTTGTTGTTGCAGTATAGCAAATTTTTAGTTTACAACTGGTTCATAAAATACTAACTTAGTGGAAGAACATATATTGATAATATAAGATACAGTTTATCTTAATTTTTGGTTTTTGATGACAAATGATGTGTCCTATTAGGATAACATTGATGGATAGATGACAAGAAACGCAAAAACGTGTGCTGTA